TAATTAATAATATTTAATTAATGCGTAATTAAATAATCGCTAATTAGTGCTCATTAACTAATTAGCTGGTGGAGGTGCGGGGGGAGCTGGAGGAGCTCTGTTGCCCCTCCTCATTAACACTAATTAATGAATTGGGGCGGAGCTCTAATGACTCACTAATTAATTGACTAATTACACAACGGGAGGAGCACTAATGACCCCCTAATTAGCGCTCGTTAATTAACTAATTAGGTGCCTCTCCTAATGAAGGAATACCCCCTCATTAACACTAATTAACGAACGCACACACGGACACCGATGCTCCCACTTAATTAATCCCGGTTAATTAAGTAGTTCCCCAGCTCAGAGAGCGCTAATGACCCCCCTCATTAACACCAATTAACTAATTGACCCCCACCTGGAAGCCTCCCTAATTAATGCCTGTGTAATTAGCGCTAATAAGCAAACAAATGCCTGTCTGTGGGGAGAAGCCTTAATTAGTGCTAATTAACAAACTGATCACCTACCGGGAGGAGCCGTAACGCCCCTTAATTAGCACTAATTAACTCCTTCATTGCTCAGCCGGAGGAGGGCTCCCGTCTCCCTTAATTAACGCTAACGAAGGTACAGACGCCTGGCTGGGTAGGGGAGCCCTGATGAGTGTTCTAATTAACGCTAATTAGCGCTAATTAACCCCCAGCTGGAGGAGTTTCGGGGGTGCTGGAGGAGCAGCCGGAGAGCGAGAACCTTCTGCCTCCCCTTAATTAACAACAACCGGTTATTACTCACTAATTACCACTTGTTAACCCTTATTAAGGCTAATTAGCACTAATTAGCGCTAATTAACCTCCAGCTGGAGGAGTTTCAGGCGCGCTGGAGGAGCAGCAGGAGAACAAGAACCTTCTGCCTCCCTTAATTAACAACAACCAGTTGTTACTCACTAATCACCACCAGTTAACCCTAATTAGCGCTAATTAAGGTGTTAATTACCCCCAGCTGGAGGAGCTGCGGGGACACTGGAGGAGCGGGAGCAGCAGGAGAGCGAGAACCTTCTGCCTCCCCTTAATTAACAACAACCAGTTATTACTCACTAATCACCCCCAGTTAACCCTAATTAGCACTAATTAAGGCGTTAATTACCCCAGCTGGAGGAGTTTTGGGTGCACTGGAGGAGCAGCAGGAGAGCGAGAACCTTCTGCCTCCCTTTAATTAACAACAACCCGTTATTACTCACTAATCACCCCCAGTTCACCCTAATTAGCACTAATTAAGGCGTTAATTACCCAGCTGGAGGAGTTTCGGGGGCACTGGAGGAGCGGGAGCAGCAGGAGAGCGAGAACCTTCTGCCTCCCTTTAATTAACAACAACCAGTTATTACTCACTAATCACCACTAGTTAACCCTAATTAAGGCTAATTAGCACTAATTAAGGCGTTAATTACCCCCAGCTGGAGGAGCTGCGGGCCCGCTGGCAGGAGCTGGAGGAGCGGGAGCAGCGGGAGAGCAAGAACCTTCTGCCTCCCCTTAATTAACAGTAACCAATTACCCAGCGGGAAGAGCACTATCACCACCCTAATTAGCACTAATTAAGGCGTTAATTACCCAGCTGGAGGAGCTGCGGGCCCGCTGGCGGGAGCTGGAGGAGCGGGAGCGGCGGGAGAACGAGAACCTGCTGCCTCCCCTTAATTAACAATAACCAATTACCCAGCGGGAAGAGCACTATCACCACCCTAATTAGCACTAATTAAGGCGTTAATTACCCAGCTGGAGGAGTTTTGGGTGCACTGGAGGAGCGGGAGCGGCAAGAGAGCAAGAACCTTCTGCCTCCCCTTAATTAACAATAACCAGTTGTTACTCACTAATCACCACTAGCTAGCCCTAGTTAACCCTAATTAGCGCTAATTAGTGCTAATTAATGCCCAGCTGGAGGAGCTGCGGGCCCGCTGGCGGGAGCTGGAGGAGCGGGAGCAGCGGGAGAGCAAGAACGTTCTACCTCCCTTTAATTAACAACAACCAGTTATCACTCACTAATCACTACCAGTTAACCCTAATTAGCACTAATTAACGCTAATTAACCCCCAGCTGGAGGAGCTACAGGGGCACTGGAGAAGCGGGAATGTCACAAGAGCGAGAACCTTCTGCCTCCCCTTAATTAACAATAACCAGTTGTTACTCACTAATCACCACTAGTTAACCCTAATTAGCACTAATTAGCGCTAATTACCCCCAGCTGGAGGAGCTGCGGGCCCGCTGGCGGGAGCTGGAGGAGCGGGAGCAGTGGGAGAGCGAGAACCTTCTGCCTCCCCTTAATTAACAATAACCAATTACCCAGCAGGTAGAACACCAATACCCCCTCATTGACACTAATTAACACTAATTAGCGCTAATTACCCCCAGCTGGAGGAGCTGCGGGCCCGCTGGCGGGAGCTGGAGGAGTGGGAGCGGCGGGAGAGCGAGAACCTTCTGCCTCCCCTTAATTAGCAATAACCAATTACCCAGCAGGTAGAACAACAATACCCCCTCATTGACACTAATTAGCACTAATTAGCGCTAATTACTGCCCAGCTGGAGGAGCTGCAGGGGCGCTGGAGGAGCGGGAGTGTCACGAGAGCGAGAACCTTCTGCCTCCCTTTAATTAACAACAACCAGTTGTTACTCACTAATCACCACCAGTTAACCCTAATTAGCGCTAATTAACACTAATTAGCGCTAATTACCCCCAGCTGGAGGAGCTGCGGGCCCGCTGGCGGGAGCTGGAGGAGCGGGAGTGTCACAAGAGCAAGAACCTTCTGCCTCCCTTTAATTAACAATAACCAGTTGTTACCCACTAATAACCACTAGTTAACCCTAGTTAACCCTAATTAGCACTAATTAAGGCGTTAATTACCCAGCTGGAGGAGCTGCGGGCCCGCTGGCGGGAGCTGGAGCAGCAGGAGAACAAGAACCTTCTGCCTCCACTTAATTAACAACAACCAGTTCTTACTCACTAATCACCCCCAGTTAACCCTAATTAGCACTAATTAATGCGTTAATTACCCAGCTGGAGGAGTTTCGGCGGCACTGGAGGAGCGGGAGCGGCGGGAGAGCGAGAACCTTCTGCCTCCCTTTAATTAACAACAACCAATTGTTACCCACTAATCACCACCAGTTAACCCTAGTTAACCCTAATTAACACTAATTAGCGCTAATTACCCCCAGCTGGAGGAGCTGCGGGGGCACTGGAGGAGCGGGAGTGTCACAAGAGCGAGAACCTGCTGCCTCCCTTTAATTAACAATAACCAATTACCCAGCCGGTAGAACACCACTTCCCCCTCATTGACACTAATTAGCACTAATTAAGGCGTTAATTACCCCCAGCTGGAGGAGTTTTGGGTGCACTGGAGGAGCGGGAGTGTCACAAGAGCAAGAACCTGCTGCCTCCCTTTAATTAAGAATAACCAATTGTTACCCACTAATCACCACTACTTAACCCTAATTAAGGCTAATTAGCACTAATTAGCGCTAATTACCCCCAGCTGGAGGAGCTGCGGGCCCGCTGGCGGGAGCTGGAGGAGCGGGAGCGGCGGGAGAGCAAGAACCTTCTGCCTCCCCTTAATTAACAACAACCAATTGTTACCCACTAATAACCACTAGTTAACCCTAATTAACCCTAATTACCACTAATTAGCGCTAATTAATGCTCAGCTGGAGGAGCTGCGGGCCCGCTGGCGGGAGCTGGAGGAGCGGGAGCGGCGGGAGAGCGAGAACCTTCTGCCTCCCTTTAATTAACAACAACCAATTATTACTCACTAATCACCACTAGTTAACCCTAATTACCACTAATTAGCGCTAATTAAGGCGTTAATTACCCAGCTGGAGGAGCTGCGGGGGCGCTGGAGGAGCGGGAGCGGTGGGAGAGCAAGAACCTTCTGCCTCCACTTAATTAACAACAACCAGTTGTTACTCACTAATCACCACCAGTTAACCCTAGTTCACCCTAATTAGCACTAATTAGCGCTAATTAATGCTCAGTTGGAGGAACTTCGAGCCCGCTGGCGGGAGCTGGAGGAGCGGGAGCAGCAGGAGAACAAGAACCTTCTGCCTCCCTTTAATTAACAATAACCAATTGTTACCCACTAATCACCACTAGTTAACCCTAATTAAGCCTAATTACCACTAATTAGCGCTAATTAACCCCCAGCTGGAGGAGTTTCGGGGGCACTGGAGGAGCAGCAGGAGAACAAGAACCTTCTGCCTCCCTTTAATTAACAACAACCGGTTATTGCTCACTAATTACCACTAGTTAACCCTAATTAAGGCATTAATTACCACTAATTAGCGCTAATTACCCCCCAGCTGGAGGAGTTTCGGGGGCACTGGAGGAGTGGGAGTGTCACAAGAGCAAGAACCTTCTGCCTCCCTTCAATTAACAATAACCAATTACCCAGCGGGAAGAGCACTATCACCACCCTAATTAGCACTAATTAAGGCGTTAATTACCCAGCTGGAGGAGCTGCGGGCCCGCTGACGGGAGCTGGAGGAGCGGGAGCGGCGGGAGAGCGAGAACCTTCTGCCTCCCCTTAATTAACAATAACCAATTGTTACCCACTAATAACCACTAGCTAGCCCTAGTTAACCCTAATTAGCGCTAATTAGTGCTAATTAATGCTCAGTTGGAGGAGCTGCGGGCCCGCTGGCGGGAGCTGGAGGAGCGGGAGCGGCAGGAGAGCGAGAACCTTCTGCCTCCCCTTAATTAACAATAACCAATTGTTACCCACTAATAACCACTAGTTAACCCTAGTTAACCCTAATTACCACTAATTAGCGCTAATTACCCCCCAGCTGGAGGAGCTGCGGGCCCGCTGGCGGGAGCTGGAGGAGCGGGAGCGGCGGGAGAGCAAGAAGTTGGCGGACGAGGAGGCCCTGAGGCGGCTCCGGCACAGCGAGGAGCAGATCGAGCACCTCCAGCGCCGCCTGGCCGCCACCAAACAGGTCACTAATCACTTAATTAGGCTAATTAGGCGGTGGTTAGTTAGTTTGAGTTGTTAATAAGTCGGTAATTAGGGGTAATTAGGGGTTAAGGGGGGGAAATGGGGAGGGGGGGAGGCTCCTCACAGAGCGAACGCCTCCAGTGCTGCCGTCAAATAGGTGGTTAATTAGGGCTAATTAGGGGTAATTAGAGATGATTAGGGGTTAATTAGTTGGAGTTGGGGGTTAATGAGGGGTAGTTAGTGGTTAATTAGGTGTAATTAGGGGTTAAGGAGGGAAAATGGGGAGGGGATGGAGAGGAGCAGATGGAGCACCTTGAGTGCTGTCATCAAATAGGTGGTTAATTAGGCTAATTAGGGGCGATTAGGGGTTAGTTAGGGGTTGATTAGTTGGAGTTGGGGGTTAATTAGGGCATAATTAGTGGTTAACGGGGGAAATGGGGAGGGGGGGAGGCACTGGCACAGCGAGGAGAAGATTGAACACCTCCAAGGCCACCATCAAACAGGTCGTTAATTAGGCTAATTAGGGGTGATTACTGGTGATTCAGGGTGATTAGGGGTTAATTAGTTGTAGTTGGGGGTTAATTAGGGGTAATTAGTGGTTAAGGGGAGGAAATGGGGAGGGGGGGAGGCGCTGGCACAGCGAGGAGAAGATTGAACACCTCCAAGGCCACCATCAAACAGGTTGTTAATTAGGTTAATTAGGGGTGATTAGGGGTAATTAGGGGTTAATCAGTTAGACTTGGGGGTTAATGAGCAGGAATTAGGGGTTAATTAGGGGTTAATTAGTGGTTAAGGGGGGAAAATGGGGAGGGGGGAGGTGTTGGCGCAGGGAGGAGCAGATGGAGCAGTTCCGGTGCTGCTGTAAAATAGGTGGCTAATTAGGCTAATTAGGGGTGATTAGGGGTTAGTTAGGGGTTGATTAGTTAGACTTGGGGGTTAATGAGCGGTAATTAGGGGGTAATTAGTGGTTAAGGGGGAAAATGGGGAGGGGGGGAGGTGTTGGCGCAGCGAGGAGCAGATGGAGCAGCTCCAGGGCTGCTGTAAAATAGGTGGTTAATTAGGGCTAATTAGGGGTAATTAAGGGTGATTAGGGGGTAATTAAGGGTTAATTAGTTGGTCTTAGTTGTTAATTAGTGGGTAATTGGGAGAAATTAGGGGTTAAGGGGGGAAAATGGGGAGGGGGGGAGGCTCCTCACAGATCGAGCGCCTCCAGTGCTGCCGTCAAATAGGTGGTTAATTAGGGCTAATTAGGGGTAATTAGGGATGATTAGGGGTAATTAAGGGTTAATTAGTTGGTCTCAGTTGTTAATTAGTGGGTAATTGGGAGAAATTAGGGGTTAAGGAGGGAAATGGGGAGGGGGGGAGGTGCTGGCACAGCGAGGAGGAGATGGAGCACCTCCAGGGCTGCCATCAAACAGGTCACTAATTAATTAATTAGGGGTAATTAGGAGTTCATTAGGGGTTAATTAGTTGGAGTTGGGAGTTAATTAGGGGTAGTTAGTGGTTAATTAGGGGTAATTAGGGGTAATTAGGGGTA